TCATGTTTTACTTAAGTTTTATTCTCATAAACTTCTTTAAAAAACTTTAATTTATTTATTTATTTTTATATTTTGGTACCAAAGATCGAACTCAGGGCCTTGCGCTTGCAAGGCAGGCTCCAAAACCACTGAACTAAATCCCCAGCCCAAAAAACTTTCAAAACTTTTAAAAACTTTAAATAATATATGTATGTCTACTATTTGAAAACAATACTCTTAAGGTGTCTACTTTGAATAATTGGGAACTTGGCAATGGGACCAAGCCTCATACTGAAGACATAAAAATCATGCAAAATGAAATCCAAATTCTCAAGAACATGAGATGTATTTTCTGGGGCAAGATCTGGGAAAAGGTGTGGTATTACAGAGGTAAACATATCTATTTAAAGCTGTTTTTATCCTAATGCTATTTTTTGATCCTGGAAAAGTGGATATTTATTTCACCATTGATTTTAGTACCTTACAAGCCTAAAAGAGTCAGAAGTAAAACCCAAGAAGAAGTGGTATAATAAACCATTTCTCATTGTGAGGTACATGTAGGAATAAACTTGAAAATAAATATACTTTCAGGAGGAGTTGAAGCCAGGCTTCTAGGATGGCTTCATTGAAGTTAAGGAACTTAGGAATTTGGTCCTAGATGGTAGCATCTCCTCAGTCAGATAAAAAACAACTGAAACCCATCTCTAGAGAAAGCGTCTTTTTAAGCCTCTGTTTTTAAAAAATGTATTTAAAATCACAGTGCTAAACCTATATGCAATGGTAATCAGGAACAAAAGAAAATAAGTCACCATAAGCAAGGAACAGCAACTTTGAGCTGTGTGTGGTGGCCCATGCCTGTAATGCTAGCACAGTGAGAGGCACAGGCAGGAAGATCTCAAATTGAAGCCCAGCCTGGATAACTTAGTAACTCTCTTGACCTTGACTGCGAGCAAACTCAGCCAAACTCTGCTACTTCCAGTGTAACACAGCTGAACTCTGGAGGGGCGAGCGAGATGTTTGTGCCACCATAGCCTGCTAATGCTGGTTGAAAATGTCTGCTACAGTTCTTAGTAATTTATTCTTATTTTTTTGGACATGTTTGCAAATGGATTGTCTTAATTTCTTTACAGACAGTTGCCAGTATATATAAATACTACTGATTTACTTTCCTGCAACCCTTCTGAACGTATCTATCAGTTCAAAAACTTTTGGTGACCTTTAGGATTTTCTGTATATAAAATCATGCTGTCAGTGAATGGGGACAATCTAACCTCTTCCTTTCCAGTTTGAATGCCTTCTTTCTTTCTCTTGTTTAATTGCTCTGACCAGGACTTCAGTCCTATGTGACACTGGACATTTTTGTCATGTTCATAATTTTAGAAAGCCATCCGTTTGCCACTGTTGAGTAGGAATCTATCTAGCTGTGGGTTTGTCAACTATGGCTTTTACTGTGTAAAGGAATATACATATAGCAAATCTGTTAAAGAGTTTTTTATCATGAAATGATGTTGAATCTTGTCAAATCTTTTTTAAGCACCTACTGAAATGATCACATAGTTTTGTCTTGCATTCTGTTAATATGAAGAATCATATTTATTGATTTATACGTGTCCAGGAAACTTTGTATCCAAGGGCTCTTCTTAATGTACCACTGAGTACAGTTTGTTAGTATTTTGTTGATTTTTGCATCTCTGCTCGCCAGGAGTATTGACTGGTAGTTTACTTTTCTGGTGTTATGAGGGAAAAGCTGGTTATCATAAATATCAAGATTGTGCTTACCTCTAGGAGCTGTGATCACGTTAAGGAGGCCTTCGTGGATTCTGGAGGAAGAGATAGAAATATTTCTTCTTCACTTTAATGGTTATTACAAATTTCTTATTTTGTAAATTATTACATTGTGCCTGATATATTTTATGCACTTTGGTAATTAGCATCTCCTTTTGCATCTATTTTATATAGCTTTTAGTTACTTAAATTTTATAATTAAAGTCTTCTATTTATAACAACCCTAGTTTGAATGAATACCAAATTAGCTTCTGTAGAACACACACACACACACACACACACACACACACACACACACACACACACATAGACACAAAACCTCTGCTCCTTCTTTGTCACATTTCATCTTTAAACATTGTATTTCCATTAACATATATTTATACTTTTATTTTATGATGTTTTAAAAATTAATTTGGGGAAAGGAGAGAAATTACAAACCAAAAACATAATACTGGCTTCTACATTTACCAATGTACTGACTACGTTCTTAATTATTTTATTGTTTCTAGAAAGTACTTTCATATTCAGTTTCATTTTGAAATGAGGACTACCTTTGGCATATTTTTCTAGGGCTTCTGTAACATTGTATTGTAGACGAGGTAGCTTAAATAATAGTAATTTAATTTTAAGCTATTGTGGAAATTTTATGCTTGATATAAGGTGTCCTCAGAGGTGGTTTACGTCACCATCTGCATCTGTATACCTGCATCGTATCTCCCTGTGTTTGTGTATTAATTTCCTCTTTTTTATAAAAAGAAAGATACCCATTCTGTTGATACCCATAGTAGTGCATCAAGACCTGCCCCAAAGACCTAATGTTAACTTGGTTACCTCTTCAAAGTCTCTCTTCTAACGGAGTCCCTTTCTGGAGTTTTGTGAGGTGGACTTCTGCATGTGGGGCACAATTCAGCATGTAGCAGGCAGTTCTTATACTTAGCTCCCTCAATTTTTGTGTGGAAATGTCTTTACCTTAAATTATAAAAGAAAGTTTTGCCAGATAACAAATTTTTCACTGATTTTTTTTCTTTTAGTACTTAAATATCATCACACTGTCTTTGGCCCCCTCAGTTTGTTTTTCATCAGATGTGTCGTATTTTCTCCTATTACTTTATCACATATTCCTTCTGCCCTTTTCATTTTTCTTTGTACGAGACTCCCATATTGCTATTCCACAGGTCTCTTGGATTCTGTTCATTTATCTTCATTTTTTCTTCAGATTGGAAAACCAGTTAGATAAAGAAATAAATTCTACCTAGTGTTCTATAGCATAGTAGGAATTAAAAAAGTTATATATTTTATAGAGGAGTTCAAAAACTCCCAACACAAAGAACAAATAAATGTTTCAGAATATGGAAATGCTATCATGATATGATATCATTTTATGTGTATGTACATTATCGAATTAGCACCCTGTACCTAGATAAGTAGATAAGTAGATACAATGATAGTGTTAATTAAAAGTAATTTTAAAAACTTTTGTTGATTTACTTTGAAATTTGCATATTATTTCTTTTGTTTGCTAACATCTGCTACTGAATCTCTCTAGTAATTTGTTTGTTATATTTTTCAGCTCCATAATTGTTTATAAAATGTTATATTTTTATTGAAATTACCTATTTGGTAAGGCATCGTTCTTCTGATTTATTTTATTTCTTTCTATATGATTTCCTTTAGCTCTTTGAGCATATTTCAAACAGTTAATTTATAATTTTGGCAGCTAAATTCACTATCTGAACTTCCTTAGGGAAAAATTCTGTATTTTTCCCTGAGAATTGGTCATCTTATTTATATTTTACAGTTTTTTGTTAAGAACTGGGAATTTTGAGTATTTCAGTTTGGTAATGCTAGGAATCAGGTTGCTCTGTCGTCCCCAGTCTCTTGTTTCTGTTGCCAGTTGTGGCGTGTTATCATTTCATTGTTTATTGACTTTTCTGAACTATTTTAATAAAGAGGATTGTTTGTTAGTGGTCACGTAGTGATCTGAGAGAGGCTTTGTTAAATGACTTGAATCTGCTCAGCCCGGCAGTGCCCGGCCAGCTGTTTCCAAATTAATTCAGGGCTTGAACGCACATGCAGCACCCAAGCTATTGTGATTCTGCCTTCATCTCCAGTCCTCCTTGTCAGTGCCTTCCAAAGCCATTTCTAAATTTGTGTCCAGCCTTGGACCTGTGTGTATCTCCTTTTAGATTCACCAGGATAAGTGAGATTTTTCAAAACCCTTTTTCACACTCAGGCTCTTCCTTCCCAGGCTTCTCAGCGTGCCCACTGCTTATCCCTTGTGCTACTCTCTGCTCCAGGCATCTGCAGGTTATGTATCGGCCTTCAAACGCTTTTAACAGACACCACCTATGAGCCCACTCATCCTTCAGGGAGCCGCTGCGCAGCTGGAATCACCCAAACATAATTGTTTGGGAACGGTGTGCAGTCTCTTCTCTGACGTCAGCCAGCCACACCAGGGACGTGAACGTCATCCTCGTGGATGCCGCTGAGCTGGGCGTGTGGAGTGGGTTGGCAGGTGGCGAGGTCCTAGCACCACAGCATTCTTGTATAGAAATTCAGCTCCTCAAGATGGATGTCATCATTAGGTACCTCAGGCATGGATAACAAAAATAATATATATAAATAAAAGAAACAGCTGCTTCTTTTGTCCTAAAGCAATAGCTTAGTTCCACTCTACCTGCACCCCAGGTATTTCTTAACCTCTAGTAGGCTGGGCAGATACTGAAGAGCTGGTGTTCCGGGAGCCGGAGTGGGGTATGCATGATGTAGATTGGCACTGGAGGTCGGCACTGCCTTTATTGACTTAAAAAGAAGTTATGAGGTCCCATCCTAGACAAAGACAGAGAGGTAAAGCTGTCACCTCTTAGTAGGAGGCTCTGCAAAGGATTTGGATACAGGAAGGATTCTGGCAGGTGTAACTATCTTTTCAATCTCCAGTATCTCCACAATCTGTAAAACAGAAGTTCAATGTGTCTCTGATATTTAAATGAAATATATGCTTCAAAATGCTAGGTGTTCTGTTCTTCATAAATTGGACACTGCAGATCTATTGCGTGATTTCATTACCAGTGGTTTTAATACTAGTGTCCAGGATATAAAACTTAAAGCTCTATACATTAATATTTTTCATTTGTAACAAGAAAACTTCCTACCAAGTCTTATGAGTGCCATGACAGTAGCATTTATAAAGAATTTGAAATAAATCAAATTTTATTTTCTGCTTTTCTTTTCTCTAGTCAGAAACACCTGTTCCAGACTTACTTCCTCTTTATCTAGAAATGTATATCGTGGTGGACAAAGCCTTGGTATGTGTTTACACTTTTTCTTTAGTTTTAAATATTGATACAAGTAGATAGTTATTCTTAGCTAGAAGGCTATGAAAAGATTCTAGTTATCTTACTTGCTTTTTATTACAGCACAGTATAAAATATGCAAACTAAAAGCAAGCAACAAAAAACCATTCTAATTTTACCAGAAATATTTTATTTGAAATATTTAATAATAGTCCTGAACAACAACAACAACAACAACAGCAACAAAAACCCAAAATGACAAGGCCAGGTGTGGTAGTGCATGCCTGTAATTTCATCACTCGGGAGGCTGAGGCAGGAGGATCACTGTGAGTTCGAGACCAGCCTGGGCTACATAGTAAGTTCCAGTTCAGTCTCAACTACTTAGACCTGTCTCAAAAAAAAAAAAATTCAAAACAGTCCTGAAAAGCAAAATGATTTTTTTTCTTTTGCTGGATCTTTACACTTTTAGGGACACTTTTAAGTCACACAAATTTTTAATGGGCTTGTGGTGAAGGTGAGCTTGTTTAAGAGTTCTAGGGGAGTCTACAGGTGCAGTATATAATCCTAATCCAAGGAACATTTCACTTCATGAAATATTTACTGACGCAGTAGTGATGACAGTATACCTGTGTATGAAAACTGTTTCCATTATTACTGTATGTCAGAATTTTTGATCAGCAGGTACTTCTAGTGCAGTCCACGGTGTGCCTTATGTGAAGGGCACTCTATAGATTCTTGATTTCTGTAAACAACTTGAGGGCCTCTTAAAATTTAGGGCCTTAGTGTGATTACTTAGTTTGTAATCAACCCTTTAATGGCTTCATTTTTGTAGTTATTAAAGATTTCAGAAAGTAGGGATAAAACTGTATTTTCCAGGTTTTATTCTGATGGTAAGATTTGATTCCCTCACTTAAGGAACCTCACAGAGAACCTGAGTGGTACTTGTCACCAGCTCTTAACTCTGAGAATAATGTTGTTTTCAAAATCTACAAGGCCCCAAGTTATCAAAGCATAAGAAGTAACCAACATGAAAAGGGCATATTAACACAGTGGGGCTTACAATGGATACAGTAAATGGTCAGCTGGTGGGGGGTTGGCCTGGGGAAGACTTTGTACCAACCTTCCTGGGCAAATGCAAGAGAAGGTTTGTGATTAGTACACAGGGTTAAAAGAGGGATGTGGAAATAGATAAAGCAAATAAATTATAGGATATTTGGATTTTAGCTTAAGGCAATAGGGAGACATTGAAAAAATTTAAGAAAGGAAGTACCACATTCATGGTTTCGTTTTGGAATTTTTAGTTTGGCCATACTGTAGGGGGTAGATTGCTGACGGGAAAATTGGAGGAGTAAGCATTTGAGAAACTATTCAGTCATTGAAGTGAGAACATAGAAATTGGTTTCAGTAGGACCAGAACCAATGGTAAAACATTAAAGTTACTGGTGAGGTAAAATTAGAAGAACTTGTAAATTTATCTGTCTAAATCTGCTGAATGTCATCTACATATCAGCTACTTTTGTCGTTATTAAGGATATAGCAGTGAACAAAAGCTTCTGTTTCTGTGAAATATGTCATAATAAATGTGGGGTATAGTAATTGATAGTACCATTAAATACTAAAGTAAAAACACTATCTTTTTTTTTTTTTTTTCCTTTGGTACCAGGGATCGAACTCAGGTCCTTGCACTTGTGAGGCAGGTGGTAGAACCACTGAGCTAAATCCCCGGCCCAAAAACACTATTTTGAGGGAGGAAGGAGCATTTACTTTCTGATATGAGTATAGTTTTGAAAATTTGAGATTACTACAGAAATCCACTGCATGTGGTGTACTGTGGAAAGCCGATGTGTAGACAGTTTAATTGTGTTGCAATTCAGAATTCCTTCAGATTTTAACACTTTTTGTACACTGATTTGTGTGTGTGCATGTGTGGATGTGTGTGTTTGTGGTTTTGTGTGACTGTGGTGTCTCAAAAGCACATCACCACAAGATTCTTGTGCTAACTTTCCACAGCCTCACCCCGATCCTCCTCCTCCTTAATCCTGGAGTGGCATAAGCTGTTCTTCTTTATCATTTCAAAAATATTATATAAAGTTTTCCTGTAGTGTTTTCTTTGGAGTTTGTTTTTAATCTCACCATATTTTTCTTAATGTTTTTCCAAGGGGTTCCATATGTGAGGATTTCATTTCTTTTTTATTGCAGAATAATATTCTGTGGAATGGTTGTACTATATTTTCAACTCTTAAATGACTTAAAAATGTTCATTTCTGGCCATGAGGGACAACAGTATTAGGAATGTTCACATGCTGGTTTTTGTGTGATTATGTTTTCATTTATTTGGGATAAATGCCCAGAAGTACGATGGATAGGACATGTAGTAAAGGTGGTTATTTGTTTCATAATAAGTTGCCAAACTGTTTTCTAGAGTGACTGTACTGTTCTGCATCACCATTCACACACAATACAGGTGATCCAGTTTATATTCATTTTTTCTTTGTTAATGTTTTATTTTGAACTATTTAATCAGCCAGTAGATGAAGACCGAGTCTCAAAATATAACATAACAAATTGGGTTTAAATGTAAAAATCAATTGTCTTTCAGTATGATTACTTGGGCTCCGATAGTGTGACCATAACAAACAAAGTCATTGAAATGATCAACATTGTAAATTCAGTAAGTATTTTCCTTTTCATATCAGATTCTTTGTTTGTGAATTACATTTTCAGTAACTTGAAGTGCTGCTTCTGAGTAATTAATTCATCCATTTAAATTCAGTGTGGATTTGTATAGTAATACTGAAATAATTTCTAGGTTACTATAAAATAACACAACATGATTTTAAATCTATTTATTTCTTATGTCCTTAGATGTTTGCACAACTTAATGTGATGATTGTGTTGTCATCACTGGAATTGTGGTCAGATACAAATAAGATATCTACAGATGGCGAGGCGGATGAATTACTGTACAAGTTTTTGGAATGGAAACAGTCTCATCTTAGTCTAAAACCTCATGATGTTGCCTTTCTATTCATGTAAGAATAATGGCTCAGTATTCCTGGAAAGAAAATACAAATCTATGATAATAATGTAATTAATTTAGGGAAATGTTATTTATTTTAGGGTTTCATATTTTGATTATTTGTTAGGTGCTTTATTAAGTCTTGTGCTCTCTTCTTGGTTTTCAGACAATAAAGTAAGACTACCAACACGTATTACTAAGTTTATCAAACTATTACAAATGAATACATTTAGATTGCAAGAAGTTAAGCCATCACAAGACTTTCTTATCTAGTGGTGTATCGAGGATCAGAAATCAGTTTCTAACTCCAGAACCCAGACCCCCAACCACTTCCTGAAGAGTTGGAATTTATCTTGTGAAGTTTATTTTGATTATAAGCTTGATCTAAGGCTTGAGAAACTTGGTTAAAGTATTTTATCTTAATTTTATTTTCAATGTTAGCTTTATAATGAGAAAAATAACTATATATTTCTTTTCTATTCATGTTAGATTGTTGGCGATAATAAATAGCTTTCTGCTTATCTCACTGTATATGTAATTTGTATTTTACAGTTGGCATGTCAGTATTTCTCTTTGCATATGAAAGATTAATCTATACTTCACATATCAGACAGAAATATATACTACATTTTTCAGTGTTTTTATTTTTAAAGCTGGGTTTTATTTATTTATTCACTCATTCCTTTGTTTGTTTAGTATTTTTTGTTAGTACAGGTTTGCAGTACGTGATGATTACATTCATTGTGGGGCCTTGGTACATGTACATAACACATCTCAATGGTTTTCCCTTCCCGCACCCCCCTTTTTTATAATTTTTTTGCCAGAATCAGATTCATTGTTTTATTTTATAAGGTCCTTATAAAATGGATTATCATAAATACAGAATAATAGGCCAAAAGCATAAAACTGGTAAGACAACTATACTAAATCAAGGTACACTTTTAGACATATTTTTTCATGCTGATTTACAATAACTTTTGCCTCTTTTTTCCTATTGTTTGTCTTTATTCCATACTTTATTTATATATTGAGTTTTTCACATATGATATTTATACTTGTGTGTCTGATTTACTTCAGCTAACATTATGTTTTCAAGGTGCATCCATTTTCCTACAAATGACTGATGTTTATCCTACTTTATGGCAGAATAGTACTGCACTGTGCATAAATACTACATTTCTTTTACCCATTCATCTGATGATAGATATGTATGACAATTTGAATTCAGTAGACATGGAAGTGAAGTAGAAAATCATTTCAAGTTGTGGAAATAATATGCCTATTGTCACCAAACAAATTCATTAGCTCTTTTCAAAATTTCATTCATAGTTAGGAATGACTTTGCACACTTGAAGGAGGAAAGGGGAACAGGAAGCACTTAACAAGCAAAACAGTAGGTCTTGACACCTGATTTGAAATGCCCTGGCCACAGTGAGAGGTGGCAGCTGCACCTTAGTGGTTGAGAGTATGGCTCTGGATTCAGACTGCTTTAGTTTAGATCCTTTAGTTAACTTGATAATCATGTCACCTTTGGAGAATTCGACTTCTCTTCTGTTTAATTTGCTTAACATGTATAAAATATTATTTATTCCAGTGGCTTGTTTTGAATATCAAATGGGATAATTCACGTGAATCTCTGAGAATAGTGCTATTATATGAGCACTTGTTTGTGTACTTTCTCTTGAAGCTAAAATGTGATGTTTGGGTCGTACTAAATATGTAAGGTCATATCTACGTGGGTTTGATTACAGAAACTAATAAAGTATTCTCTAAATAATGAAAAAAAGAATAAGATAAGACTATAAGAGCAAGAAGCAATTTAAATATGTTCAGGGACCACTTCCATCTCCAGAATTAAGGATTATTTTAATGTCATTGCCTTTTGTCTTTTACTTTCCTTTTTAGTTTTATTTTAGGATTCCCTATTTTTAATGTTCATACAGAGATTTCTTTAACTGAAATACCGAATAGTTTCTTCGGTGTGAAAAACTATAGTAGTACACAGGATCCTAATGAGATAATTAATGATGTGAAATAGGAAGTAAAGGGCTAAAGGTGTAAGGAAAGTGGGAAGGGTGGGGGAAAGGTAATAAGGGAGGGGGAAAAGTATGAGAAACTGAAAAAGTGGAAATAAAGTGTTTGTAAATGAGGAGGGGAGGAGGGGGTGAAGGGAGGGCAGGGAGGGCAGGGACAAGGGGAAAATGAGAATCAAGACCTATTATGTAAAGGTACAGGATCCCAATGATAAATGTAACTGTATTGTATACTTAGATTTTACCAATAAACTCAATAAAAAGAAAAAAAAAGTGATGTTTGGTTATGAAGTAATAAAGTAATTCCTATGAGAAGCTGTTGATATTTTTTATATGTGACATATTTTACCTATACTTTTAAATTTATGTCCTTGTTAGACAATAAAATGTTTTAGATCAAAACATTGGAGCAAAGACTTTGGTGACCTTCACCAAATGTAATGAGAACAGTCACGAACTCAAACTATTAAATCTATTGAATATGTTTTAAACAGTATTTACTCTGATCTAGTGAAGACTGTCTTCCAAATTTGGAGCAATTAAGACATATTAAAAGGTTGTGTCTCAATTTTATAGAGACTGGAATTTTATGAACTACAAATTCAAAGCAGCAAGACAATTATGCAATTCTCACATTGAAATTGTTCATTAAAATTAGTTCTAAATGTGTATGTATTTGTTTATTTAGTTACAGAGATTATCCAGACTATGTGGCAGCAACATTTCCTGAAAAGATGTGTTTTATTCCTTATTCTGCGGGAATTGCACTGGTATGTAATTACTTAACTTCCTTTAAAAAAAGTAATGTATTTAAAACTTACTCAAATTGTTAGCATATATTTTATATAGAGACAGGGACTCACTATGCAGTTCAGGCTGGGGTTGAACTCACTGTGTAGCCCAGGCTGGCCTCAAATTCATGGTGATCCTCTAGCTCCAGAGTGCTGGGATTAGAGCCTGTGCCACCATGCCTGGTGATACTATTTGCATTTAGAAATTGTATTTGTTTTTTTCATTATCATTTACATTTTAAAGTACTTTTTTGTAGAAAAAGTGTCATGTTTCAATCAGCTGTGGTGTTATTTGAAAGTTAAAATAAGAACAGAAATACCATAAATACACTGGCATTTCTTAATGTATAAACCAGTGCATCATGAAAAATTATTCATAAAGAAGTCCAGTTGGGCGGCCCAGGGGAAGAGGGCTTTATTTCCTGGCACCAAAGCCCAGATCCACAGCACAGTGCTAAGAGCCTCCCAGCAGGAAGGCAGTGATCTTTGAGGATCTTTGAGGCTGTGACCTTCACCAGGGAGGAGTGGGCTTTGCTGGATCCATCCCTAAAGAAGCTCTACAGAGATGCAATATTGCAAAACTTTAGGAATAAACTGGGGCGATGACCAGCAAATTGAACGTGAGTACAACAGTTACAGGAAAAATTTAAAGTAGTTTGTAGTTACAAGAATATTCCCTCAGAGTTCACAAATATTACAACCAAGGCAACTGCACAAATGAAGCCACAAAATTTCTCCAAGATTTATACATGTTGAGTGTCTAGAATCGGACAATTGAATATTTGAAATATCCTAATATCTGAAATGCACAGAGTCATGACATCATGTTACAAGTGAGGTTATCTAATGTATAAGAATAACAAATTATTTTTCATGCTCAAGATTATAAAACTGTTGGGGCCAAGGATTTAGCTCAGTGGTTCTGCCGCCTGCTTTGCAAGCTCAAACACCTGAGTTTGATCCCCACTACAAAAAAAAAAAAAAAAGGAAGATTATAAAACTGTTGTATGAAATTGTATTTAGGCATTACTTATAGGTATATATAAAAATATTTATGTTCAGACTGAGAGCCAAGTACAGCATATCTAATTACCCATAGATGTATTTTCAAAAGACTGCTTTCTTCTCAAACAAGTTATGGAAGTAATGCTATATGTATTTCAATGTGGCATACACATTCATTATTTCAAAAATTTGTAACCCTGAGGAAGTATTCAAAATCCAAATCAGTGCCCCCTGTTTTGATAGTTGCTGTTCTCAGCCATCTTCCAGAGCATACATTCTTTCATTTTCTGAAATACTAGAAGCTGCCTTCCCACCATGTTTGTAGCAATGTAACAGTAGTATAACATCTAAGGAAATGTGTATAGAGATTGGACAAAGAGTAAAAATAGAAATTCCATTTTGTCCACCTATGCTTCTGTGGGGTTTATTCCCCCAAAGTTAAATTAATCATGTTACATTGACACGTACGTATCCACTTACAAATATGAAGATCTGGAAACAGTCTGGATGCCCATTCACAGATGAGTAGAAAGGAAAAATAGAACAGCCTGGGCAGGAAGGTGCCTACTTGCATTCCTAGCATGCTGGGAAGTTAAGGCACGAATATAAAAAAATTTATATTCTACCTGAAAATCTTAATCATTGATGAGACTCTGTCTCATAAAAAGAGATAAATAACTCTGAGAATGCAGCTCAGTGCTAAAACCCTGGGTTCAATTTGCAGCACTAAAGATAATGTAGTGTGTATATATAATGGAATAGTATTCAACCATAAAAGAGAGTGAAATAATGTCATTTGCCAAAAATGGATGGATCTGGAGCAACCAACATAGACATTAAAAAATTAAGAAAGAAAATTTTGAATATATATGTATATATATAGTGACTTGCACAGACATGGAAGGACAGTGCACAGATACCATTATATACCTCAGGAAAGAGAACGGAAGAGAAAATCTGAACATAGGTGGGAAACGTTTTATTTTCCTCTGTGTTCAAGTTCATGAAAGTCTTCATAGGAGAAGGAAGGCTTATATAGGCGATAAATGTGGGAAACACTTCACTTTTTCCCCTTACCTTGAGAAACATGGAAGACTCCCACTGAAGCAAAAGCCTGTGTGAATAATATGAGAAAGATTTTTTTTTTATTCTCATAGTGTCAGAAAACATGCACAAACTTAAAAATGAGATTTAGCGTGAACACAGAATGTGAGAAAGGCCAGAAACAGGTGCGTTAGTAACAAGGTGCACTGCTGTAAAGCACACACCCGGGGACAGTCTTCTTCCAGTTTACCTATGGATGAACACCCTGGTGAGGTCAGAAAGTGCTTAGGAATGCTAAGTCCAGAGCAACAAAGCGTCCAGATCTGTGCTGTGTGCAATGCGTGGCCTAAGTTCAATGGATAAAGTGAGTTTCTTCACACACTGAAATTTCACTGAGACTTTAAAACCAGCAGAATCCCTCACTGGTGGCAGCGTGGATTAAATGCGGTCATTAAGTGAAATGTGCGAGGCATAGACAAAGCTTGATCATGTTTGTTTTTAGCGTTTAAAATTGACAACTTTACAGACGCAGAGAGGATAGCGATCATTGCTAGGTGTGGGGGTTGGAAAGTTGAGGTGTGTTAAAAGAAAGCCCGGTGTTTCTCGAGTCCGCAAACCCTATAGTGAGCACAGAGAACGGTGCAGTGCCCCAGTGGATTACACTTGGCTCCCAGCCTGCTTCCGTAGATGCAGAAGATAATTGTGAGGTGAGGCGGGTGCGATAGTCAGTTCACAGCATACGCATAGCAACCGATTGTACTGTTTTCAGGGTATGATTGTGTTCTTTTTGTTTCATGAAATTAAATTCAGCAGAAAGAAAACATTATTTATAAAGAAACTTCTATAAATCAAATAGGTTTCTGTTTACATACATAAAATTGCAGAAATGTTGTTGGTCCAGGGCTTCGGCTCAGTGGTTCCACTTCCTGCCTCACAAGCACGATGACCCAAGTTCGATCCCGGTACCAAAAAAAAAAGCAGAAATTTTGTTATAGATAATATAGATTCAAAATATTAAAAAAAGAAAAAAACTGAGACAAAAATCCACTCAGATGTTTCAGAGTTCTCAAAGACGCACAGTATTTAAAAGAAACTTTTATGTAGACTTTAAACATTTATGGTATTTTTACATGTTGTATAAAATCACCAGAAGTATTAAATCCAACGATGAATGTCATGTCATTGTTAGGGAAACTTTCTCATCGTACTAATATTTTTAAAAAACAAGTTTAAGAACAGTGTGTTAAAAAAATAAATAGCAACTTAGGTTAATCATGTCTTATTTGTTGAGTATGTAAAAAATTTAAGAGAATTTATATTATGTGGCATTTTGTCACCACTATTAACATTTTGAATGTTTTATTTTCTTTTTTTTCATCATTGAGTGTATTGGTACATTTTAGGTGCACAGTACAGTTACGTTCATCACTGGGATCCTGTACCTTTACATGACAGGTCTTGGTTCTCATTTTTTCCCTTATCCCTGCCCTGCTTTCACCCCTTCCTCCCTTCCCCATTTACAAACACTTCATTTTCATTTTCTCATATTTTTCTTTTCCCTTATTCCCTCTCCCCTACCCTTCCCACTTTCCCTACACCTTTAGCCCCTTTCTTCCTATTTCACATTGTCCATTGTCTCATTAGGATCTTATGTACTATTATAGTTTATTCACACCAGAGAAACTTCCATATTTACACGTGTGACTTATTTATTTCAATTAAGAGTATATCTTCAATATGTGTCCATTTTCCTACGAATGAATCTAATTTCTCATTCTTTCTGGCTGAGTAGTACTCCATTTTATAGAAAAACCACATCTTCTTTATCCAGTTTCCAACTGATGGGCAAATGGGCTGAGGTAGAATCTCAGTGTTGTTTTCATCTGCATCTCTGGAATGACCAGTGATGTGGAACATTTTTTCATATATTTACTTGCTGTTTTTACTTCTTTGTCTGAGAAATGTCTGTTCATTTCAGATGCCCAATTTTGAATAGGGTCTTTATATTTGGGGGGGCTGATCGTTTTAAGTTCTTTATATATTCTAGATAGTAGTCCTTTGTCTGAGGAGCAGCTGGTAAAACTTTTTTCTCACATTTTAGGTTGTCTCTTAGTTCTGTTGATGGTTTCTTTTGCAGTGCAGAAGCTTTTTAATAAGATGAGATCCCAGTTGTTGATTCTTTCTGCTGGTTCCTGTGCTTCTGAGGATTTGTTCATAAAATGTTTTCTATGCCAATGTCTTCAAGAGTTCTGCCTAATTTACCTTCCAGCAAGTTTAGTGTTTCTGTTTTAATATTTAGATCTTTAATCCACTTGGATTTTAATTTAGTGCATGGTGAAAGATAAGGGTCAAGTTTTAATCTTTAGCAGGTTGAGATCCAGTTTTTCCAACACCATTTTATTAAAGAGACTATCTTGCCTCCAATGGGGACGGTCAGCTCCTTTGTGAAAGATGAGGTAGCTGAGTACATCTGGATTTGTTTTTGTGTCTTCCAATCTGTTCCACTGATCCTCAGGTCTGTTTCTTTGCCAGTACCATGCTGTTTTTATCACAGTGGCTTTTGAATGCTTCATTTTCTATTTTGTATTTTTCTCTGCTTGTCTGTGGTTCTCACTCTTGCTCTTTTTCTAATAATGGAAATTTGCCATGCAAGGTTTTATTTCTAATACTTACATTTTTAATTGAAGTGTGAATATATTTTAAAATGTAAATATACAAAGCAATAAATGATAACAAAGCTCTCTCCTTTATATCTTTTTTTTTTTTTTTTTTTTTTTTTTTTTTTTTTTTGTACCAGGGATTGAACTCGGGTGCTTGTGCTTGTGAGGCAGGCGGTTATACCACTGAGCTAAATTCCCCACCCTTCTCCTTTATATCTTAAGTTGTTTTATTTAAGAATTTCTGGGGGCCATGGATTTGGCTCAGTGGTTCCACCACCTGCCTTGCAAGTGCAAGGGTCCAAATTTGATCCCCAGTACCAAAAACAAACAAACAAACAAAAAGAATTTCTGTTAAGCTCTTCCTTAAATTGATTTATTTAAAAATATACTTGCTGTTAACCTGTCCTATTTGCATTTTTTAAGACTAGACAATATTGGTAATATTATTTCTGATACATTTAGTCTAGTCTGTCAGATTTTCATGTTTTTAGTTTTTCAATTAAAACGGCTTTTTTGGTTCTGGTGATGGAACTCAGAGCCTCTGTATGCTAGCAAAGCACCCACCACTGAGCTACACTCCCAACCCCTATACTTTTTGTCATTTTAAGTCATATCTGTGTACCTTGACCAATGATTATGGATTCTACTTCTATGCAAAAGGCATAAAGTTTGTATGTAGTTTATTCTGTGACTTTCATACTTGGTTTATAGGCTGATATAAAAATCAAATTAATCAATAGTATGTTACAGTGTTATGAATACATGAATAAGATCATACATAAAATAACCAAATAAATGCTTCTTTCTTATGCCAATAATGCACTGATGCTCCAAGAAGGATATTTTAGACATTACATTTACCTCTCATGGTCAGAATCATCTACCTCAGGAAATTAAAAATTGATCTTTCTTTACTAGGAAGCAACTACTATTTTTTTCCAAAATAACTGTAGAGTTTGTTTTTATTTTATTTTTAAATTTTATTTATTTATTTGTTTGTTTGTTTGTTTATTTATTTATGGTACCGGGGATTGAACTCGGGTCCTTGCGCTTGCAAGGCAGGCCACCGAACCGCTGAGCTAAATCCCTGGCCCAGTTTTTATTTTTAATAGTGTGTATGCATGACGAACACTGAGTTATCTTATTAATGAAAATTATTTTGCCACCGCATTTAGTAAGCTGGGGAGGTAAATAATACTCGTAACATTTTTGTAATTTGATAAGGAGATTAAGGAGCAATGAAAATGTAGTAGGAACACGATGAGTTTAATGTGCTGGTGCTGGTGTAGATCATTGAAAGTGAGGTCCTAGGGGCTGAGGATTTAGCCCAGTGGTTGCGGTGCCTGCTTCGCAAGCACAAGGACCCAAGTTCGATCCCCGGTACCAAAAAAAAAGTGAGGTCCTAGGGGAGAGATGAGCACAAAAGTGCGGATGTGATGTGCAGTTACTGATGAGAGGGAGGAGTACATTTCTGCTAAAAGGTTTGTGCCCAGGCCTGGAGTGTGCACTGAGGAATGAGTGGCTAGGACAACACTTAGGATGAAGTCATTGGTGGAGAAGCCGTGAAAGAGTGAGGCTTTTACAAATAATTTATATTTACATTCTTACTCAGCCGTGATAATGTGGAGAATAATAAAGTGGAGATCGCATTATAGAATCAAAGCCAATAAAGCTTTAGTAATTAGGGCAGAGGAAGATACACAGAGACAAAGAAGACAGTGAGACAGAATAGAGAATTCAGAAACAAACAATGCATAGGCATGTGGTACTTTTTCACAAAGATGATATTGTGGTACACTTGTTGAGGATTGGCCTTTTTGATGAAACTGCCCTTTGACCAGATGCTATCCCAAAGGTAAAGTCTAAGTAGATTGTGTACACACACACACACACACATATTAAACAACAAAGTTCTGGAAGACAGAAATCACACATCTTCTTGACTCTAAAGGTAGGAAAAGACTTCTTCAAAATATGTCTTCATTCAGAGAAGTACAGTAGTTCCATTCTTTTCCTTTAGAATTCCTTGTTACCAGCAAATCTTGGTAAGGCTCTTACCAGTCAGAATCTATTATCCACCACCCATGAGTCTCTCCTAAGCAACCCAAACAACAGAGGTACTGGTGCCTGAACTCATGCTCACTTGGTCTGCTTCCTTTTGGGAACATGGTTCTGTCTGTATTGCCTAGCCTGGCCTGAAACTTGCCATTTTCCCACAACAGCCTGCAAAGTAGCTGGGATTCCAAGAGCACCACCAGGTCCAGCTTCTCCTTGCTCTTTTGAATAAATCTGTAATATTCATTTCCTGCTATTGCTAGTGTATCTTGCTGATCCAGTCACACAGCAAAGCTGTGTGTTTTCCTTTTCTCTTAACCACTAATGTCAATTAAGTGTCATAAAAGAAATTGAGTTATGGGAGGCAAAATAAACATGATACCACAGGAGTCAGACACTGCTTATGCAGTTTACCTATTCTTTCTAAACCTATTCAGTGGAGTGTTGCTGTGAACATTCAACTCTACAGTTTAGCAATCAGATAATATCTATTTCATGATGAGATATTCTAGTCAAGATTACTTGGTGACTTCTGGTGAAATTTTCAACTCTACTGGGACAAATTTCAAGTTAGGAGTTGCTTATGGGATAACTGGTACATCATTCAGAGCAGTTTGTCCGAACATCGCATATAGTGACCTCTAATATCCAAAAAGGCCACTAAGCGTGTACCTCCCATTTTGTTATAGTGGCCTGTGTATACCACACAAATGTGTCTAAGTTTAGAAATGGGGTCCTGATATGTCCCCAGACCACTCCACTCCTAGGATTGACCATTTTGGTAGGTTACTGAAGTGCTACAGAATTTGTCTCCTACTCTCCAGCATACATATATTTTAATAAAACATTTGTAATGCTTATCAGGTTTAGTAAACATATTATTACTACATCAGTGGAGCCAGCATAATGTGCTGTGGGCTATAAAGCCATCCAGGTCTCTCTGGGCCATGTTGTCAAGAGAACAGGAGATTTGGAATAGCCCCATAAGGCAAGTTGTAGTAATGATACATTATCTGGTCCCAAACTACTACCTCTGTGGTGAGGCAAACTAGTTTTATTTGTTGTTGTTGTTGCTGATGATGATAGATTAAGAAAGGGAGCTGCTAGGTCCATTGCTACATAGCAGTTGCTAGAGGCTATGCTGATTTTCTCTACTCAAGGTGCTGTGTTGGCAATCTCCAGTGTGAGTGCCGTCACTGCCAAGTTAAATTTGCAGTAATTTACAGTCATTTCCCATCTTTGATTTGACTCCTATATCACACAAACAAGCGTATTAAATAATGTTAAAGACGATTAGTGTAGTTTTAAACTTTGTGAGTGCTATTCTATGTAGTTCTCCCAGAGATACTATATTTTTTATGTGATTCACTGTAGGATGACCTTGAAAAAAAGATCCTATAGACCATGTGAAGTCCATAAGACTATTTTACAAATTAACTGTAGAATCTTTATTATCACTATTAACACCTTAGCAGTTGAATGCTTTGATATTCCTGACAACTTAGCTTCCCACTTTGGTGATAGTTTAATAAATCAGTCTGTCACTGAATACATTGTATTTCCAGTGTCCTCCTTCTCCTTGGTAAGAAGCTTATTTGGGCACTGTTTTAATACATAATCAGTTTTGCGCAGTTTAATACATAACCCAAGAATGATTTTTAGAGATTATGTTTTCTGTGGCTTCTTTTAATATTAGTCAATGTGTCAATGAGGACCCTGGCAGGAAACAGACGCTGTACTTTCATTATGTAGCCACAAGCTAGGAGGAGATCCTGTAGACCTTGTTAATTGCACATTGGAGCTGTTGTAAGAACTTGGGTGGACTAAAGATTATGGTCCAAATAGTCAAAAATCATTAAAATTTCCTTCATGAAATTAGTTCTTTTTATATAGTTGTGGAATGTAAGAATCTAATTAGGTGTTCAATTATTAAACAATGGCATTGACTCAATAACCTTGTGTCTTAGTAGAATTGCATCAGAAGAGCTTCATTCACTTCTATACCATATGTGCCTGTCCTTACATATTAGGTACAAAATAAAAAATATTCATAATCAGAAAGCTAAAATTTTTTTAAAAACCATTCAATTCAATGTCTCTCTGAATTTTCTTTGTGATGATTTTAGTATCCCAAGGGCATGACTTTAGAGACATTTGCAGTTATTGTCACCCAGATGCTTGGACTCAGTCTGGGAATAGCATATGATGATCCAGTGAAATGCCAGTGTTCAGAAGCCATCTGTATAATGAACCTGGAAGCGATGTAAGTTTGTTCTCAAAGACTTATTTATTGGTTATGTCTGTTTTGTTTTCATTGTGGCATTTCTTATAGCAAAATTAGCTCTAAAGAGATCATGTAAGAGTGGGGTATACTGTAAAAGACAATCAAAGGCAGCAGATCCAACCTGCAATATACATTGGCAAAGGAATTTTATGTAGGACAGATATGTTATAAAAGCACTTAGTGTGTTAAAGTACTTCAAAAATATATTATGCCATAACAAGTTTTGATTTTTAGAAAGAATTTTTCCTTTCGCTTTTATGTTTTTTTGATATAGGAAAATTCCATCCAAAGAACAAGAAGTCAGAGGAGATAATGTCAGATATTCAGTGTTGGTGTGAATTTGAACAGATTACTTTACCGTGCTTAGATTTACTTTTTAAATCTTTAAATAAGGATAATAATGTCTGTTCTCTCATTTCTGAAGGTGACATAAGAATGAAACAAGAAAATAAAACAATTGTTACATGTTGTAAATCCGTGGTGGATTCACTGTGGTAATCTCTGAACTTACCAGGCTCCCAAAACAGCGCATCAGTCAACAGCTGCTGTGTGTGTTATCAGTGTTATAGCATTTTCCTGTGTGTAAAAATGATCTATGAAAGATGTGACCCATTATTCCAGAAAATCCACTGACAGTTACAAGTGAGACAAAGGTGTTAATTTTTAAAAACATATATTTTTTCCTAGTTATTCTTCAGTACCACCTGAGAGTTAATTTGTAAGTTCTAAAATAGTACAAACTCCAACATGTACACTTCTATACTTACTTACATTCCAAAAATATATCTAAAAATATCTACATGCAAAAAATACATACACACATAGCATGATCATGTATGGAGAGATGACAGGTACGTGTGTGACAGAGAGATGGCGGAGGTAAGGCAAGTGGAGACACCGTACAGAATGACCACACAGACATAAGACGTGCTGCCCGATGTCCGTTTTGGCAGCTATGCTTAAGGACGTCATGAGAGTTTTATGAACCTCATTCAGCTTCTAGTACTAATGAGGATAAGTTCAATCCATAATTATGTTGTATTTGGTAAGTGCTAAAAACCGTTTCAAGCATGAATATATGTTAACATTGATTCAAACAATATTTCTGTAGGACAGGTGCTCTTAGTCCCATATTGCAGCTGAGTTTCCCAAAGGAAAATTACCCCCGGTCAGCCGGGCGTGGTGGCACATGCCTGCAATCCCAGCATTCGGGAGGCTGAGGCAGGAGGATTGCTGTGAGTTTGAGACCAGCCTGGGCTACATAGTGAGTTCCAGGTCAGTGTCAACTACAGTGAGACCCTGTCTCAAAAGACAAAACAAAACAAAACACTTGGAAACAGCCCATTTGCCCATCAGTTGGAAACTGGATAAAGATGTGGTTTTTCTTTGCTTCTTTCAAAATATTGTCATATTTTAATCCCAACTGCAGAAAAAAATGGTAGAGAGCACTACTTTCTTTTTAATTTTCCCTGTTTTTTGAACCAAGAACTTATCATTTCAGCAGTCTGTTATAAAATAATTTGGGAACAAAGCTAATATAGCATTAAAATTAAGAGTGCACCTATGTTTATAGCAGTACAGTTTGTCATAGCTAAACCTTGGACACAGCCCATTTGCCCATCAGTTGGAGACTGGATAAAGAAGTGTGGTTTTTCTATAAAATGGAATACTACTCAGCCATAAAGAATGAGAAATTGGATTCATTCGTAGGAAAATGGATTCATATTGAGGATAAGTGAAATAAATAAGTCACACGTGTAAATACTGAATAGTTTCTCTGGTGTGAAAAAGTACAATAGTACATAAGATCCTAATGATATTAATGACAATGTGAAATAGTAAGAAAAGGGCTAAAGGTGTAGGGAAAGTGAGAAGGGTAGGGGAAAGGTAATAAGGGAAAAGAAAAAAATATGAAAAAATGGAAATAAAGTGTAAATGGGGAGGGGAGGAGGGGGTGAAGGGAGGGCAGGGACAAGGGGAAAAAATGAGAACCAAGACCTGTCACATAAAGGTACAAGATCCCAATAATGAATGTAACTGTACTGTCTACCTAGAATGTACCAATAAACTCAATGAGAGAAAGAAAAAAAAAGTACAGTCTCAAACAAACATGAAAAAATTCAAGGCAACTGATTAGAAATAAACTTTGGGAACATGTGTTTTTATGAACTGTCATTATGGGCAGCAAACAGTTGAATAATTGAATTGAGAAATGCATATTATTCAGATCATCTGCAATACATGTGGAAAATTTTGCTGTCCACGTGTAAAGATACAGAACTTTTCTGTGAGTGGTTTATTTCACTTAGCATAAGAATTTTTAGCTTGCCCTATGTTGCTGCAAATGATAGGATTATCTTGTGAAGACTGAAAAGTATTGTATATGGTCTTTCCTCAGTATCCTTGGGGAATTTCCCTTCTAGAATGGCAATAGCAGAGTATCAGAAGTCTCTTGTATAAAATAAAATAGGACAGGCTGAGTGTCCAATAGTACAGATCTGAAATGCTCCAAATTCTGTAAGGTTTTTAACCCCAACCTGACTTTACAAGAGGAAAGTTCTACACCTGAGCTCATGTGATGGGAAAAAAGTCAAAATGTTGTGCACTAAAAGCTATAAGTTTATCCCCAGGCTATGTGTTTAATGTGTATCTGTAACATGAATAAAATTTGAGTTTAAACTTGTTTTCCCCCCAGGATATCTCATGATGTGTATGTCTGTGTTCCAAGGTGTAAAGCGCAATTCAAAATCTGAACTGCTTCTCCTCACAGTCATTTTGGATAAGGGATTTTCCACCTGTATTTGCATATAAACTATACATATACTCTTTTATACTCTAAATTCTCTCTGCATTAGTTAAGATACCTGACACAGTGTATATGCTATACAGATTTTATAATGAACTTTGAAAGGAATAATCAGGATAAGTCAATACAGACAAACTTTTAACAAATATTTCCCATCCAAGGTTGGTTAAATCTGAGGGTGCAGAACCCACAGCTTCAGAGGGCAAACTGTATGGACCATGTTTTCTAAATCCATTCATTCACTGATGGACATTTATGTTAATATATCTTGGCTGCTATAAATTCATACAACATGGGAATAGTAATAATGTACTGATACTTGAAAATTGATACAAGAGTAGATTTTAAATATTATTGAACAAAAACCTGAAATTATGAATATGTAAATTAGCTGCAATATATATATATATATATCAATCAATACATATATATCTCATATATCTCCAGACATCACCTTACAATTTTAAGAAAACTGTGCTAATATCCATTCATTGCAAAATGCCTGAATTGTGAAATTTTTAGCTTCTCTGAACTTCCGTGTCCGCAAAAGATAATATCAAACTCCCTGGTTTGTAGTCCTGATTAAACAACTAAATGCATGAAATATCTAGCTCAATAAAAGTCAGTTTCCACTTTGCCTTACAGATTTTTACTGCATACTGAAACTGATTCATCCTATGGAAGTGTAGTTCCTCAGTTATCTTTATTAACGTTAATATGGAGAAAGCTATATAAAATTTTGGTAAACATACAGTTTCTCTGAGGCCTTTGAGGAGGCCTATTGATCATTTGAAAATTAACTTCTATGTTATGTTTTCAGAGCAACTCTGCCAATGACATTGTATGAATTCATCTTTAGGCAATCTGGTGGTGTGAAGACTTTCAGCAGTTGTAGTTTGAGTGACTTTCAACGCTTCATTTCAAAAGTGGGTGTTGGATGTCTTCAGAATAAGCCACAGATGCAAAGAGGCCAACGCTGTGGCAATGGCATAAGGGAGGGCAACGAATTCTGTGATTGTGGTACCATACAGGTAAGTCTGATAGCTGGGAAAAGAGATGAATAGATTTAGAGTTTGTTCATCTTTCTTTATAAATATTATATATCACTCAAGCATGACTGGTTACCACTCATACTGACAGCAAGTGAATTAAGCTGACGTGCCCATGAGAAGGTACTGTCTAGATTTTAAGTTGAAGAATTCAAAAAAATTTCGAATGTCCTGCAAAATTTGTTGTTGATGGCTCAGAGGAGACTAGAATAAACTCTTTGTAATTAAAAAATTCCAAATATTTGCATAACTGTGAGGTGTCTTATAAATGTTTAATGAAGATTACTCCGTCAGTAACCCATCATGTGTCTTTTAGGGTACGACTTCACAATAGAAATAGTATGGTGATAATATCTGTTAATATTACAAACTGAACATTAGGTAAATTTGATCATTTACTTGACAGGGAAGTCCTGAAAATATGATGAATGCAAAACATTCTAAATATAATGCTTCTGAATAATTCCATAACTGTAGGAATATTACAAATATAAATTTTCATGACCCTTAGATAAAAGTGATTATAGGGTTTATTAAATGCAAAAGTGTGAATTACTTAGATGTGTATCATTTTAATTACTACGCTTTATCATATGACAGAGCAAGTCCTTTTACTCTTGAACATTAATTTCTTTGTGGGGCGTAATCTACACACAACAAAATTCACCATTTTAAATATATAGGTTGATGAGTTTTGACAAATGTAACCATCTGTATGATTGTATATTATTTTCACCATCTTAAAGGATGATCAGTACGCATCCACTTAGCTATAAATTTCTGTAGTTTCTCCTTCTTTATGGCTGAGTAGTAGTCCATTTTATTAAAAAAAACACATTTTCTTTATCCAATCTCCAACTGATGGGAAAATGAGCTGTTTCCAAGTTTTAGCTATTACAAACTGTGCCGCTATAAACATGGGTGTGCATTCAAAAACTAACCCCAGCAAATATATAGCTCCTACCGAAGATTTTATTGTCATCAGGCTATTTTTGCATGTATATTTCATATATTCACAGCAATGTGGAATTTATAACTGCTGTGATCATGAAACCTGTCAGATGAAAATATCATCACAGTGTCTTGGAGGACCATGCTGCCATTTCTGTTTAGTAAGTTTTAATTTTATTAACGTTTAAAACCATATAACTGCATATGTAGGAGATATCAGAATACTTTAAACTACAGATTTAAATCAGAATAAGTGACTTTCAGTCATGTTTCAGATCTTGTGAACTTTTGTCAGGTGTTGGGGCCTCTGTTTAATGCTCATATTCTCACTACATGCTGTTATTTTTTAAACCTTAATTGAAAACTTGTAGAACTTTTCAATAAGGAAATCTCAGGTGAAGTGGACAAGTATTTTTTCATTCTATTTAATATTTATACATTTATATATCAAAAATGATACTTGTTCTAATAAGTTTGCATTGCATACCTATGCAGTTGAAAAATACAGAACTTTAGGCTAGGGATTTAGCTCACGGGTTCTGCCATCTCGCTCACAAGTGCAAGGATCTGAGTTCGATCCCCAGTACCAAAAAAGGAAAAAAAACCCCACAAAAACCATATCTTTTTATTATGTGTATAAAGAATGCAACTCAATAGAATTAACACTTTCAAAATAATACATGTAATAAAAATTTGAACTATTAATTTGGTAGAGATTATTTGACTTGAAAGGTCACATTTTAGTTTACATGGTGAAAATACTGACTGCTGTTTCCTGATTTCTTTCTTTCTTTTTTCTTTTTTTGGTACCGGGGATTGAATTCAGGTCCTTGCACTTGCAAGGCAGGCCACCGAACCGCTGAGCTAAATCCCCGGCCCTAACAAAGCAAATGACTTTTTTTTTTTTTTTTTGGTATCAGGGATCAAACTTGGGTCCTTGTGCTTGCGAGGCAGGAGGTGGAACCACTGAATTAAATCCCCAGGCCCTTCCTGATTTCCTTTAAAATTCGTCTAGTGTATTCAAAACAATTTTCCCATGTGAGAAAACCTCTTCTGAACTCCCTACCATGGGTCCTGTCCTATTAACTCGCCTCAATTGAAACAGTTTTAAATTTTTTTCTAGACTCTTATTATCTGGTTACATTCTTACTTCTATAATCTTTTATTATCAAGTTGAAATAATAAATTAAGGATTATAAGATTGATACCCATTTAAGATTTTTCATGCAGAATTTCAAAATCCTATCTATGAAAGAATTAACTAACTATAACATAATTTGTGTTAAAGATTAAGTTTCCATAAAAATTCCCATATTTGAACTGCTTCATTACTCACTGATCTGTTTCCCTTCATTAATTCTGTTATTCTACAATATTTAACATTTGTCATAGTATATGGAAGTATTTTTTACTTACACATTGCAGTTTACATAAATGTATTTTATTTGGAAATCGACTTTAAATTTTTTGATAAAAGGAATAATTTTTCAAAGCTAAAAGTGATCTTTACTCTCTTATACTAAAAACGCAAATAAAACTTTTCATACGGGATATTTGTTGTACTTATCTTTTATGTATTTCTTATCTCCATTTTAATTGATGACTGTAGAAGCCAGCCTACAAGTTTGTCTTGGGGCGTCAAACAAAGATTATGACAAAAGACACAAAGATAATTTGGAAGAGGCAAAGAGGGACACTGGGCACTCCTGCCTCCAGTGGACAAAGAGCCCAAACCGGCAGTGCGCCTCACTTTTATTGGGCTCCCACAAAGAAATAAGCAAACATGTAATTCAGGGTTTGTGGACAGTTCACCAGTTCTCATAATTTGCAGACTGCACCAAATTGTGTTTTCTTTCATCAGACTTTAGCTGCGGCTGACTTTTTCCCTGAAACTGGCTGGCGCCCGTAAGATGGCGTGTAGCCCGAGGGAGGGACAGCTTCCTGTCTTCTCTTTTGTGTCTCTAGGAGAGGTCACAGGAGGCCTCGGTCTTTACACTTAGTTTCCCACCGGTGACATTCAAAGTATTTTAATAATAAATGTAAGTATACAAAAAGACAATAAACGTGAATCAAAATGCAAATACTTCCCACATTTTTGAAACAAATATTGATAAAACAATGTTATATATTTTTTTAATATCTTAATTTTTATTAGTTTTCAGGAGCAAATGTTGTATGCAGGGCCAAAAAAGACCCTGAGTGTGATGTGGAGGAGTATTGTACTGGAGTTTCACCACGCTGCCCGGGGGACGTATACATCCGAAACGGGCACCTGTGCAAGAGCAACAAGCACATGTGCTACAATGGGTTTTGCATTGATCTTGATTCACGTTGTGAGCAGAATTTTGGAAAAGGTAATTTTTTTTACATCCAAATATTTGGTCTTCTGTGTTTCTATTAATGGTATCAGAACAATACAAAATATTACGTTTTAAATTTGTGTTCAAATTTTCTTCTTTATGGAAGTATAATTGACAAAAGCTGGATGTCTTTAGGTCTATAACTTTGATACACATTGTGAGATTCGCAAAAATGAAGCTCATCAAGAAAGCATCACCTTACATAATTATCATTTAAAAAAATATGAAGGTCTCTCTTTAGACCATTTCAGGTGGGAAATACAGGCTGATGTACTATAGTCACTTTGCTGTACTTTGAACGACCTAGCTGACAGTTTCCATAACTGCGATTTTGTACCTCTTGACCAACACCTTCCCATTTCCCTTTTTTCCAAGGCTCTGAAAACCAACACCTATCATGAATTTGCCAATTTTAGATTTCACATATAGATTGTGAATTATATTTCTTTGTGTATCTGATTTATTGTCCTCTCCTTTCATTTGTATTGCCACAAATACCAAAATTTCCTCTGTACTAAGGCTGAGCTATATTTCATTTTGTTTGTATGTAAAGAAATAGAATAAATAATAAAGCTTCTCACATCCAAAACCAGTCCAGGATCAGATGGCTTCTTTGCTGTCATAACTCTTATCATCATACACTGGCCTTTTTCATCTTACTTTATGGTTTTTTTTTACTTCAATTTATTATATCTAATATAACTTCCTTTTTTTTAGTTTTTATTTGCATGGCATATCTTTCCTATCACGTTAGTCTCAGTCTGCGTGGGTCCTCAGCCCTGGGGCGAGTAGGCAGCACACAGTCAGCCTGGTTTGGATTTGCTCACTGTGTCCTCAGGGCTGGGCCTGACACTTCCACGCGTGTGTTCGGACCAAAGCCAGAATCCAGAGGCCAGCCTGTTGCTCTAGTGATCCTGGAGCCTGAGCCTGCGGGGTCTGGCCGGGTGCCGAGATGGCCTAGCGTCTGCATCTGCTGTGTACTCCTGGATCCCGAGTACACAGCAGCTGGTCTGGTGCTGCCGTTGGCCCAGAGCCTCAGTGCATGGAGAGGCCTGGCTCCTGGGTCTGTGCGGGGACTCTTGGGAGCATGTGCCTCTGTACATTTCCTTATTAACTCAGATTAATTATACGAATTCATGGTTTTCATTGTGACGTTTCCTTACAAGCACGTGTGTGCTTTATTGTGTCCATCCTCCCCACCACCCTCTTCCTCCTCCCTCTCCCCACACAGTCTTCTGCCCCTTCCTAGAAATCTGTTTATTTTTTACTCTCAAAGTACAAGATAAAACGTTTGATACTTAAATTTTGTTTCTTGCTTATTGCTGTCAACATGACGACCTCCAGTTCCATCCATTTTCCTACAAATGACACGATTTCCTTCTGTCACTGCCTAATGCTGTGCCTATCTATGATTTTCTTTATAGATTCACCTAATGACAGGTACCTAGGCTGCTGTAGAAATTGCCACAATAAAAGTGGGATGCAGGTGTCTATGTTATATGCCGACTTCCTTCCCTTTGGGTGTATATCCAGATTTTTCTGCAAGGAGAAATGTACTAGAAAGTCATCCTGGAATGCCACTCAAGAAAGGCATTTTGAGATCTTGAACTATAATTGTGGGTTTTTCTGTTTCTGCTTTCATTTCAGTGCGTATTTAAGATTTTTATATCTTTTTGATGAATTAGTACTTATTAGTATTTTTTGATCCTCTATATTTGATTCTTCTCTTTTTACTGTACTTAATTCATATTATTTGTACAAATTAATGAGTTTGCCCCAAGATAACTATTATGTATCACAGACATACACTAATGAAAAAATAAATTGATGGCTTTCACTGTGACATTTCCATACGTGCATACACTGTGTTTTAATTGTATCTACTTTTCTTTTTCCTTTTCGGTACTGGGGCTCACACTCAGGTCCTTGCACTTGTGAAGCAGGAGGCGGAACCACTGAGCTAAATCCCTGGCCCTGTATCTACTTTTCATACTGCCCTCTCTTGCTGTCTCCCGTGTCCTCTATCTCTTTCCCAAACTCATCCTCCTTCCTTATTTCTACTTTAAAGTCACCATTTTTTTCCCACATGTGAGATGAAGGATGTGGTTCTTTCTGTTTCTTATTTCTCTCAACATGACTACCGTTAGTTTCATGCATTTTGTCATCAGTGATATGATTTTATTTTTCTTTATGGCTACATAAAACAAATATACATATATATGCATATATACAAATCTAGTATATATATTCATTTCTCAACAATTTCCTATGCTTATTCCATATCTTACCATTGTGAAAATTGCCACAATAAATACAGATATTATTCTTAGATCATGTTTATGACAATTAATATTTACATTCATTGATGTTGTTAGGTTCTTGTGCATGGCATATCTTAATTCTACCTACCACCCCTCCCTGCCCCTCTCATAAAAAAAGAAAAAATAAACATGAGATGCAGGTGTTACTTTTCTATGCTGACCGTATTTCCTTTGGCTGTATACCTAGGACTGGTACATCTGGATAATATGGTAGTTTTTATTTTTGCTCTTCTGATGGACGTTCATACTGCTTTCCGTAGTGGCTGCATACCCATCAACAATGTATAGGAGTTTTTTTCTTTCCTACATTCTTGCCAGCATTTGTTATTTATTGTTTTTGTAATGATAGCCTTTCTGACTGGAGTGTGATAAAACCTCAATCTGGTTTTGAGTTGCACTTCTCTGATGTCTAAACTTGTTGACCGCATTTTCATATACTTATTGGCTGTTTGGACTTCCTGGTTGGAGAAGTGTCAGATCATTGGCCCATTGATTGATTGGATTAATTGTTCTGTTAACTTTTTTGAACTCTCTCTATATAATTTGAACTCTCTCTATGTAATTTGTTTGAGTATTTTAAATTGATCTGCTGAATTTCTCATTTGTATTGAAAATTTACTTTATAATTTTGTTGCATTCTTTTATTGGTAAATGAATTTTATTTAAATCATTCATTGTATTTATGACAGTTCATCAGTTTTCTTTTTTTAACTTTATTTTTTATTAGTACATATTTGACATACATATTGATTACATTGTCACAGGAATTTGTTCCTGTTCATAATGTATCTTGATTTTTTTCCCATTTCCCTCCCTTTGCTTCAATTCTTCTCTCCCCCCACTTACACAAACTTTGTTTCCATTTTTCCTTCCATTCCTTTTTTCTTTTCCTTTCCTTACCTTCACTTCCCTCTTCTTTCCCTTCACATTTGAACAAGTTTTATTTCCCAGTATCTATCCTAGGTTGTACTTCTTTACACTTTGTATTTCTTACACAAGAGAAACGTGATATTTGAACTTGTGTGTCTGATTTATTTCACTTAATATTCCAGTGTCAAGGTACATCCTAATATTTACCTAAAAATATTTCAAATTTTCCTTCTGTGTGGCAGAGTAGTACCCCATTGTATATAAATACCACATTTTTTATCTATTCATGTTTTGATGGGCACATAGGCTTTCCCCAAAATTTAGCTATTATAAGTTGTGCTGCTATAAACATGGGTGTTCTTATATCACTGTACTGTGATGCTTTTAACTCTTTAGGGAAGATACCTGGAGTGGGAGTGGCTGAGTCAAATGGAGCCTCCAGTTTCAGTTTTTCAGAAATCTCCATAATGATTTCCATAGTAGTTGTACCGGTTTCCATTCCCACCAGCAGTGGAGAGGGATTCCTTTTTCCTCACAGCCTCACCAGCATTTGTGACTGGTTGATTCCTTGATGATAGCCATTCTTTGTAGAGTAAGATGAGACCTCAGGGTTGTTTTAATTTGTATTTTTTTTAGGGCCAGGAATGTTGAACCCTTTTTCATGTATTTTTTTTTTGTACAGGCCCCAATTCAAACCTTTAATATTTTTACATTAAAGTCAAAGTAAATTTATGAAGTAAATACATGAACTACTCAATTATTAACCATTTGTCTATTTATATACATAAAATGGTTATATCAAAAACCTCTGGGCTAGACAAAGAAATCTTTGGGGCGGGGGCTATAGATCAGTGGTATAATAATTGCCTAGCATGTATAGAGCCCTGACTTTCACCTCTAGCATTTAAAGAAGAAGAAAGGAGGAAAAAGAAAAAAGTCGTTGCTTCTTCCCAATATTCCCAATATGGGAAAACTAGTCCCAATTTTCCAGCATTTACCCAGTAGGATAACTGTCAGCAAGCCGCTGAACCTTCTGAGCCATTTCTACATTTCTAAAATAGCAAAAACATTATTATCTACTTTGTAAGATTATTATGACAAGTGTTGACAGATGTCAAATGCTGGGCATGGCATTTGGAACCGAATAATTCTAAACAAAATGCTATCTACCATTAACTGAAAGGACTGATCACATTCATTTCCAACTGTACATTCTGTTCTCGGATTTCTGTTGATTGACTTTTATACCACAAAGTCAACTGCTACTGAGCACACAGCTTCATAAGGTCAGCCCAGACATATTGAAGTTTTTCTCCAGTGTGCTTTGGGAAAACACAAAAGGCAAGAAATACGGAGCCAGAGATGACAGCCATAGATACTGGAAAACATTCACAAGTTCAAGACCTGAAATAAACATTCATCCAAAAGCTAACAAATGGATAAACTAGGGACGGAGCTGGGTTTGGAGACTTGCTGGCATGAGTTGGGATCATGGCTCCACCACATTGAGCTTCTCCTGTTATAATCTCTATCTGCCCAGAGTGCCCTGAGGATCCAGTCCACAGTAGTGCCTCAGTTGTGGAATTGTTTTTCTTTTCCTTTTTAATGCGTATAGGGGGTGATGAGGAGAATCAGGACAGCAGATGAACATGGGATGCGATGTGATGAGTTCAGGGAGCCAAGGATTAAGGCTGAGAAGCAGAGCTGGCTGCTGGGCAAACATGAAAGGACAGCCTCATGCCCCCATTCCCCAGGAGGTTTGTGCTAGTGAACAGTTCTTGTGAAGGCAGACAAGGTCAGACTAGTTTACCCTTTTTCATGTATTTATTTGTTCTTTCTACTTCTTCATTGGAGAAGTGTGTATTCATTTCAGATGTCCATTTTGAGATTTGGTCTTAAATTTGGAGGGGTCTGAATGTTTTAGTTCTTTTTATATTCTAAATGTTAGCCCTTTATCTGAGGAGTAGTGAGGAAAATTATTTTCCCATTCTGTGGGTTGTTTCTGCATTCTGTTTGTTGTTTCTTTTGCCATGCACAAACATTTTTGATTTATGTAATTCCTTGATTCTGTGTAGTATTTCCTGTGTGATTAGTGTTCTGTTCATAAAGTCACTACCTCCACCTGCTTCTTCTAGAGTTTTACTTATTATATCTTACACCAGATTGTGTATTTATATTTGTATAGTTTATCCATTCTAATTTTAGTTTAGTGCGTGATGAGAGATGGGGTCTTGGTTCAATTTTTGGCCTGTGGAAAGTGAGTTTACCCAGCATATTTGTTAAAGAGGCTATCTTTCTTCCAGTGAAGGTATTTGTGATTTCAAGCCTGTAGTTATCTTTATCTTCTGGGGCCTATGCTTTTGTCCAATTTAAGGAGTGACTCTGCTCTTGCTGGTTGGTGGATAAGGAGGCAGTCAGAGCCCAGATCTATGCTGGATAAATCCCAGTAATTCTGCAGAAGGATTAGGGCAGGGTGCTGGATAATTTCAGCAAGGCTGCAGTAGGATTAGGACAATGTGCCCTTTCTGATAGTTTCAAATCCACAGATTTAGGCTGCTCCAGGCCTCTGGTTGTGGACTGGGGCCCGAGTCATTCAGTCCACAACACTCTGGGTGTCTTTTGCCAGTCTGACCATGGCTCCCTGATCACAGACATCCCTTGGGTTTGTCCCTCATTCAGTGACTGTGGGATTTCAACACTGAACTCCCTGAGATGAAGCCAGCTTTGGCTGCCCTAGATCTCAGGTTCAGTTGGCCCCTCCCTAAAATGGCAACTGACCAAGGACCCTCACCAGGGACCCAGCAGTCACTTGGACGGGACTCACTCACCAGCTGTTGTAGCACACAGCTTCCACAGCATCCACTGCTCCATTCCACTGGTGCATTTCTCTCTGGAGGCCTCTGGAGTCTCTGCCTTCACTGTGTGTCTCTTTATTTGATCCTCCTCTCTCAATGTCATGAGCCAGAAGCTTGGGAGAAAGTGCAGATTACCACTCCTTTTTCTTTGTTGTTCTCTTGTGTTTTCTGTCAGCCCCAGTTTTCCCTTCAGATCTTTCTTGACTATCAGGGATCCACCTCCCTTCTCTTTCGTTTTATTTTCCTATAGAGATTCTTGAGAGAGATTTATAGTTTTCTTTGGAAGTGAGATATTATTTTATCTTTTTAGTTTCTTATATCTTAAGCCAGTATTTGTGCATCTAGTGGAGTAGTTGCATCTACCAATTTTATGTGAGTTTCTTGTCAACATGTCCCAGGATGTCAGTGGGATATGCTGTGTTGGTTTTGTTTCCTGATGGGGAATTCGGTGTAGTGTTTATGTGGTCTCTTTAGTTATAATAAATCTCAGCAATGTCTGTGGATGTTTTAGTATCTTAGGCTGCAGGGGTTATACAATTATGCTGGCAGGTGTAATTGAGCTTTTTATAGGCAGGGTAGGCTCACTGGTAGCTCTGGGCATGAAGTGCTCAGCTGTCGTTGTGGGTTGTTTGGGGGCAGAGCTTCTCTTGTGGAATTGTGTAGGTCAGCCTCAGCTATTAGGCCAGCAAAGACACGGCACACAATAGTCCCCAAAGGTCGCATGTTAGTGGAGCTGTCATAGTGTCATAGCGTATCCAAGGTGGGTGTGGTGCAGCATTACAGGTAGTGAGCTTCACAAGAGCTGAGATTCACCAGCTCTTTAGCTCTGTGCTACCTAGGTCAATTGGTAGAGTTATCCTGCTGAACTCCATTGTTCCCCAGAACACACTATTTACATAGCAGTTCAGAGCTCTGAATAAATCATCTTGGCCTTCCTGTTACCAGTAAATCATAGCTTTGGTGTAATATTGTCTTTATTATTTTTCTCCTTGCTGAGACAAAATACCCAACACCCAAAGTTAAAAGAGGAAGGCTTTCTTTCAACTAGTAGAGATTTCAGTCCATAGATGGCTGGCTCCAATGAAGGGTGGCATGGCAGAGAGGTATCACAAAGAAGAAACAGTTTATTGCAAGCAGAAGAGAACAAAAGCAAGCAAGTGACCAGTAACAGTAGCAACTTCTTGCTGGCCTTTTTATATTTCATCTAGGCTATTCAGTTTAGGGCAGGTGCCAAACCAATCAGTGAACAAATTTAGTAATCACACACCCTTAATACCAGCATCACACACTCTAGATTCAGTCACCTCTGAAAAAGCCCCACCTATGACCTCATGAGGCTTGGGGGAACATTTAGATACAAGCCAAGCATATATATTTTGTATGGGACATCTATTCCTGAAGTGTTTTAATTTTGCATAATGACCTCCTCTTTAACAGAGCATAAATTCATGTTACACTGACCCAGAAATACAGAGGTAAAAAAGTTTATTTTTCTTTCATTTAATAGTCCAGAGCTTTGTGTGAAGTAAAAACTGGTTTAGCAACTTTCTTCAGTGATGTTCAAGAACATTTGGTCTTTATGCTACTCCATTCCCTTGTATTTGATAGAAGGACTCTGAACATAAAATCCATATAACAGCCCATTAAATGGAGGAAAGAGGAAATCAAACTATAATCAGTTTCCACTTAATTCCATAACCTGGATATTTCCTATCTAATGTATGTTCATAATCCACTGGCCTGGATATAGTCATATGAACATATCCAGTAACACTAGGGCATAACAAACGTTTTCTGTATCTCTCTGTCTACATGCCCTGTTTGAAAGTTGCATTACAAGAAGGAAAAAGAAGCAGTATGTTAGGGAACTGTTGCCAGTTTCTGCCTTATATTTTTCCTCTCATCTAAGCCTTAGATGACGTTGAGTGTATGTCCGATATCCTTTCTAGTAGTGGTGTTTATTTGTAGTAGCAACATTTATTTAAAGAAGGCAGATGGATCAGAACATTATAGTTTTATTGATGAAAAGAGGCAAGATTTCACATTGTTTTTAGTTTCATCTTCTCTGTAGAGGTCTCTGATTGGATTTTCTACTCACCACTATTTTCTAAATCCTATCTCAATATTCGCATAGTTAATGTGGGAATTATCATATTTACTCAATATGGTCCGAAACCTCCTATTAATACTGGTTGGACTACCATATGTTTCTGACCAGGCCTGATCCAATTCTACCAATCTTCAAACTACTTAAATACACAGTTGGTAGGTCTTGGGATGAGTATTTGGCATATGCCAAGAGGATAAAGGAGATTCTTTCTCTCTTTTCAGAGAATTTGGATAGTTGAGCAATGGAATTTTTCCAGTTGCTCTTGAAACCATCCATATGTAAGGCTCTAGTCTAGAGTTTTGGGAAGATACGTTTTTGACCATACAAAAAAAATGATAGCCATTAAGGAAATAGAAAGATGAAGTTAGAGTGTAAACAAAAATCAAAAAGTAAAAAATTAATTTCCCTGTATTTCTTCCTTGGGGGACGTGCAATGACAGATACATTTAGATTGTCTCTTCTATAAGTCTGAGTGGATAGATGGAGCAGGAAGGGGTAAGCAGGTGCCCGTCAGATGCTGGTTCCACTCTCCTTTCGACCTATTTCTTCGGTCTTACCTCATGTTTAGACCACCCAAAGACACACAGAGGCTATTTCTTGTTGAAGAAGCCTCTTTGGCTTTGTTGTAAGTTCTCACTGAGCATCGAGGACAGGTATGGTTTTCAGATATTACTTCCCTATTGCTTTCGTTTACAGAGCCCTCTTCTAGTTTACGCTTCTATGACTCTCTCCCTGCCCCATTACCTTTTGTGAAGGAAATGAATGAAGATGAAGTAAAAAGAGTAATAATATGAACATTACCTTTCATTTCATTTAAAACTTACAACTTTGTTAGGAAAATTTTGAGTCAAATAATGAGGAGAAAAGAGATAAAGGGAACATGTACATGAAAGAAGGTCAAAACAAATATATGTTTTAATCCAAACATATTTTTAACTTTGACAGGCTCAAGAAATGCTCCATTTCTTTGCTATAAGGAAATACATTCTCAAATAGATAGATTTGGAAACTGTGGTTCAAGAGATGGCATAATGACATATTGTGGATGGAGGTATAATGTAAACGTATCAATGACACCTTTCTTATGTTCTTTTGACTTTTAGTTTTTATTTTCTTAAGTATATGTCATTCATTATAATGTTTTCTAGTGCATGAAAATGAATCTCAAATGCCAGATACTGAGCAAAGCAATAAATACTCATATACTTACAGAATCTGTGGAAGGGTGTGACATACCATGTAGTTTTGTGTTTCCTTCACTCTTCCTATTAAAAACATTAATTTTTAAGTTTTAATTCAGATGGCATAGCCTGTATTTCAGTTTTCCATAACTGCTGTTAGAATAAATCTTTATTTTAAAATTTGGTAAGGATTTGTTTCATTTGTGGCATTTTAATGGATTTGTATCATATGTAGTATCAGAAAGTTAAGTCCTTGAGTGTAGAGGTAACAAATTTATTCAGCATTTTTATAGGGGAACATAAAATGTTGTAGTGAATTAATTATTTGATGGTAAATATATAATCTACACAGTGAATAAGTGACCATTAGTACCATTGAAATATAATTTAAATTATTAAATTTTTATTTTGAGTTTAGTCTTTAAATACTAATAGCTATGAAACATTGAGCTAAATATACATATCTCTTCCTTTGAAACTAAATAAATATTAATATACACAATTACAGTTTTTGTAAAGTACATCACCATAAGTAGAGAGCTGTTATTGTAAAAGCAAATACAAAGCATTCCTCATAAATGATTAATGCATAATAATTATATTATTATGTTTGCTTGCAGGAATTCTATGTGTGGAAGATTAGTTTGTACTTTTCCAACTCGAAAGCCTTATATTCGCACCAATGCTACTGCAATTTATGTTCGAGTAAAAAATTATACATGTATAACTGCAGACTTCAATAGGTATGGGGACTTTGTGAGTGCAGATACATTTAGGATTCCAGATGGCAGTGAATGTGATACTGAGAGGGTGAGTGGTTTAAAATCAATTTTTTAAAAATCTAGACATATTTATTACTTTAATCAATATTTTTCATTTAAATACAGAATTTTAATTTGCTTATTAGTGGTGTGTAACCCTAAATATTTGGAGAACAAATAAGTTTAATCGATCTCTCCATAGTAAGAGAGACATGGGAATGTTAATTGCCTTCCGAGGTTCGGTATCATGGGCGAGGAAACTTAAGCATTTGGAGGCTGGTGTGGGCAAGAGAGAGCACTTTAGCACATGCTGTGGAGAATGTACTGCACAGCATGGCAGCGAGTGTCTGTGATGAAAAATAAATGGTACGCTTTGGCTCAGTAGATTGCAGCACAGTTGAGATGAAAGTAGGTAGCGTAAAATCTTACTTCTGACTGACATTTTTGCACGTTTATTAGTCTGAGACGCTTCAAGTGTACATAGATTGGGGGTGATACTGCATTTACTCTCTAGAGCTATTGTGAAGATTAATGAGATAGCACTATAAAGTTGATACACTCATTATCACTTTATTTTACTTCATTTTATTTGTGTGTGTGTGATGCTAGAGATAGAACCCAGCCTATGTTATTCTTTTTTTAAATCCTCATACTCTTTTCTAAGTACATATTCGCAGTACATAATGGTTACATTCCTCCTGGGAAGTGTACGTATATACAGCACACCTTCATTGGCTTTTCTTTGGGGGAATCCTCGTCCCCTCCCCTCCTTCCAGCTCTTCCTCATCTCCCCATTTACAAAAGCTTTATTTCCGTGTTTTCTTTTAAGTCCCTTCACCTTCTTTACCTCTCCTTCCCCCGTCTCTTTTCCTCTTCCCGTGTGAACACGGTCTTCCTACTTCCCAGTATCTCTTCCCCATCTGCTCCTTATTTATCCTTTGTATTTCTCACACAAGTAGAGTAATATCATATTAAATTTACACATCTGATTTATTTCACTTAAGATTATGGTGTTAAGATGCATCCATTTATAAATGCCTCAAGTTCATCCTTCTTTATTACGGCAGAACAGTATTCCATTTACATAGACACCACCTTTTCTTTACCCATTCATCTGTTGATGGACACACAGGCTGTTTCCAAGATTTAACTTCTGTGACTTGTGCTGCTGTGAACATGTTTTGGGGTACCATGATGCTTTTAACTCTTTTACAAAGTTGCCTACAAGGGGGATATCAGGGTCAAATGGAACCTCTAGGTTTAGCTTTTTAAGAAATCTCTGTGCTGACTTCTGCAGAGGTTCTACCCATTTACACTCCCACTAACAGTGGAGAAGGGTTTTCTCCCCCTCACACATACTGGAATGAGATGGAATTGCAGTATTACTTTAATTTGCGTTTCTTGAATGTCTAGGCATATTGAGCATTTTTGTTTTCATTTATTTCTTGACCATTTGTAATTTTTCATCTGAGAAGCTTCTGTTCATTTCGGATACCCATTTTTGGATTGGGGCTTTAAATGTGAGGGATATAAAATTTTGAATTCTTGATGCATTCTTGGTATTAGTGATACTGAGGAGTAGCTGGCAAAAAATTTTCCCCATTCTTTAGGTTGTTTCTTCACTCTCTTGGTGGTTTCCTTTGAGCTTCAAAAGCTTTTTGTTTTGATATGATCCTATTTGTTGAGTCTTTGTAATATTTCCTCTGCAACTGGGGTTTTATTCATAAAATCTTTGCCTACACTTATGTTTTCAATAGTTTTACCTCTTCTATCTTTCAGCACATTGTTTCTGTTCTAATATTTAGTTTCAATTTTAGTTCAGTGCCTATTGAGAGATACGGATCTAGGTTTGATCTTCAGCATGTGGAAAGCCAGTTTTCCCAAGGTCTTTGTTAAAGAGGCTGTTTTTACTCCAGCAAAGATGTTTGACCCCTTAATCAAAGATAAGGTAGCTGAGTGTGACTGCAGTTGTTTGTACATTTTCTGGTCTGTTCAATTGATTGACAAGTCTGTTTTTGTTTTCTTTTTTGCAACTAATATGATGTTTTTATCACTGTAGATTTGCAGTATAACTTGGTCTGGGATTGGGATGATCCCTTCCTTGTCCTGCTTGTCCAGAATTGGTTTCACTATTCTAGATCTCTTCCGGTTTCATGTGAATTTTAGGATATTTTCTATAGTTCTGTGAGGAATTGATATTTTGGTTCGGATTAGATTAAATCTGTATAACAGTTTTAGAAGTGTAGTTATTTTCACTATATTGGTTCTGCCTATCCAGGAACAGGGGGCATCTTTCCTATTTCTGATTTAATGTTTGATCTCCTTTTACTGTCTACTATATATAATTTTCATTGTAGAGGTCTTTCATCTCCTTGGTTAGATTGATTCCAAAACATTTCATTTTTCTTGATGCTATTGTGAAAGTTGTTTCCCTAATTTCTCTCTTGGTGAATATGTTATTGGTATATAGAAATGCTACTGATTTTTTAGTGCTAACTTTGTATCCTGCTACACTTCTGATTTTGGATATTCTAGGAGTCTTTGGTGGAGTTATTGGGGCCTTCTATATAAAGGATCATGTCATCAGCCAGTAATGATAATTTACCTTCTTCCTCCTCTGTCCATATTCCTTTTATATCTTTTATCTAATTGCTCTAATATTTTGAGCACTATGTTGAAAAGGAGTAGTGATAGTGGACATCTTGTATTGTTCCTGATTTTAGGGTGAAAGCTTTCAGTTTTTGACCATTTAGTATGATTTTTTGCTATTGGTTTTCATAGGTGGATTTTAACAGATTGACATAAAGACCTCCTATTGCAGCTTTCTTTAGAGTTTTATCATTAATGGGTGATAGATTTTGTCAAGTGCTTTTCTGAGTCCATTGAGATGATCATGTGGTTTTGTCCTTGCTTCTGTTAATAGGGTATATTATAGTGCATCATTTTGCATACGTTGAACCAACCATCTCTTGATTTTTTAGTTTCAATTCCATCTGCATCCAAGGAATAAATCCTACTTTGTCATGGTGTATAATCTTATAATGATTTGCTGTATTCTGTTTGCCCCCATCTTGTTGAGGACTTTTGCATCTATGTTCATTAAAAAGATTGGCCTGTAATTCTTTGTGGAGGAGCTTTTCTGGTTTTGGTATCAAGGTAATGCTTACTTCCATAAATGACTTTGGGAGCATTACTTCCTTTTCAATTTAATTAAAGAGTTTTAGGTGTATTGGTAATAGATACTTTAAAGTTCTCACTTAATTTGGCAATGAGTCTGTTAGGACCTGGGCATTTCTTAGTTGGTAGTTTGTTTGTTTTTTTACTATTACTTCTACAATCTCATTGACTGATACAGGTTTATTTAGGACTGTCATATTTTCTTGATTCAGCTTTGGTAGTTCATATTATCTAGGAATCTGTCCATTTTTTCTCAGTTTTCCACTTTAGAGTCAGATTCTCAAAGTAGTTATTCATGTTCTTCTGGATTTCTGCAGAATCTGTTGATTTTGCCCTTTTCACTTCTAATGCTTGAATTAGAATCTTCTTTTTGTGTTGATAAGGTTAGCTAAGGGTCTGTCTACTTTGTGTAATCTTTTAGAGAACTGAATCTTCAATTCACCGATTCTTTGTATTGATTTTTTAGTTTCAGTTCCATTAATTTCTCCTTCATTTTTATAATTTACATCTTTATCCTAGCTTTTGGTTTGGATTGCTCTTGATTTTCTAAAACCTGGAGGTACATCATCATATTATCTATTTGAGCTTGTTCTCTTTTTCTGGTATGGGGATTCATCAGTATAAACTTGCGTCTTAGGACTGCTTTCTTTACATCCCACAAGTTCTGGGTCTCCATTGCATCCCCTGGGTCCTATAGGTCATACTGTTGTCATTTTATTGTATGGGTTGTCTTATTTCTTCTTTAATTTCCTCCATGACCTATTGATTATTCAAAGGATATTATTTAATTTCTGTGTGATTGCATAGTTTCTGCAGTGTCTTTTGTTTTGACTTCTAGTGTCTTTACACTGTGATCTGATAATGCATGAGATAATTTCATTTCTTTTGCATTTACATAAGCATGGTATATGGCCTAGTGTGTTATTTTGAAAAATATCCCATATGCTGAAAAAAATGTGTACTGTGTTGTTGGGTGGAACACTCTTTGGATATCTACAAGCTCCATTTGTGCAAAGGCTTTGGTTCTGCTCTGATATTTCTTCATTGATGTTTTTGCTCTGGTTTATCTGTCTGTCTGTGATAGCTGGCTATTGAGGTCACCCATTACAATTGTATTTGTGCTTATCTGATTTTTCATGTCCACTAGTGTTTGTGCTATAAAGTTGTATTTGCCAAAATTTGGTGTGTGTGTGTGTGTGTGTATTTATTATTTCTTCCTGCTGAATTGTTCCCTTAACCAGTATGTAGTGATCTTTTTTCTCCTCTAATTGGTCTTGGATGAAATCTACTTTTTCTAAATTCTACTTTATCTTTCCTTTTTCCTTGTTACTGTTACATGGAATATTAATTTTCTTTTTTTACTTTTTGTCTATGAATTTTTTGGGGGGTAAGTATGTTTTTTTGTGTGTAGCATATTGCCAGAACTTTTTTCTTCATTTATTCTGTTGATCTCTGTCTCTTGATTAGTGTGTTGAGATCATTCACATTGATAGTTACAACTGATAGGTATTGGCTTATCTTTGCCACTATGTTATTTTTCTGCTGTTTCTTCCCTTTCTTTCCTGTAACAGCTTTTTAGATTCTGTGTTTGTGTTGAATTTCTGGGATTTTTACTGTTACATGTTTTGGTATAGTTATTTTCTGATCACGGCTCTTTGGGGTTCTATATGGCTCACTTATCTGCATGTCAAATTCTTTTTCTATGCTTTGAAAGTTGTGTGCAATTCTATAAATAATTTTTAATAAGAGGTACAAGATCCCAACAATGAATGTAACTGTACTGTATCCCTAAAATACACCAATAAACTCAATTAAAGCTGAAAAAAATAATTTTTAATACTCTTTGTGATATATTCTAATTTTTCATTGATT